GGAAGACACCAGGATTACAGATTTTCATTTCAATAGTCTTCTTTCTACCTACCTTCTTTTCCTCTACTAGTGTATAATCAAATTCTACACAGCTGAACTCTAATGGGAAGACACCAGGATTATAGATTTTCACTTCAATAGTCTTCAGTGAGGCCCGTGGTAGAGTCTGTCCAAAATCCAATCTTTCTGGAGTGATGCTTAGTTTAGGCTGAATGCCTGATCCTTGAAGAATCACATGTTGGACATTGGGGTTGCTATAAACAGTCAGTTGCAATTTATTTTTGTAGTGAGTCTAAGGATAAGATTATTAAAGATTTTCAGTGAAATTAAAGATAAAATTTTAAAAACATTTATCATAAAACTTTTGAAAAACTTGAAACCTATTATATATAATGAATTTAAGACTTTTTAAAAGAAAATTATGCTACTATTTAAAATAAATTATAATTCAACAGTTTTTTGCATACAGTGACAAAAAATGCAATACTTGAAAACAACTTCTATAATATTTGAAAGTAATTTGTTGTTTCTTTCTATCTCATTAAAATATAAGGAGTACTTGTTGGTATTAAAGTAAATGTTATTTAAAAAAAATCATTCTGATAAAAAAAATCAAGTTAAGCAAAACATAAGTGATTATCTTATAAAATATGCACATCTCTTTATATGACCTGAATATATTTCAAAATAAACTTTCCAATATTCTCTTTAAGCCATTATATTCATATACATAATGTATAGCATTCTATTGTGAAACAAATAGCCTAAGTTCACAAGGTATTCCACTACCAATAGTTTGTGCCATATTTAAATAGAATTAATAAAAAGCATTGAGAGTTAAAATAATCATAGATCTTACCTTATTCAGTACTTCCTTTTGGTTTTATAACAGATCTTCCTTCTCAAAATGTCATGCTTAGCCTCTCTCTCACCTTTATACTAGTTATCATATTACTCCTTAAATTTATAACCTAATTTTACTCAACTTGTATTCGTGTGAACCAAGTTTACTTAAAATTAATTGTTTTATTTTTACTCAGTTGACTATTACAAATGGATTTTGCTACTTCATCCATTATTCAAATCAACTGATTCATCATATAAAAATATATCTTGTTGTTGTTGTAATTCCTTGATTTTTTGTTTTTCAGTACAATAATATGTTAAACCAGCATAAAGCCTTCATACTTACTCTCATGGACTATGTAATCCCCCCTATAGGGCTCTGGCTAGTGTTTAACCTATAGCCAAGCCTATTCCCTAGTTTGTGTAGCTAGATATGAGCATGTTATAGTCCTCTCCCCTATATGTTCACTTTAAGCTTAACAGTAATATGTATATGCTAATCCTGCTAGCTTCTAACTTTTATATCTTGGCTCCATGGTGGTGGGAAAAACTGTATAGATGGCAGTTGGATGAGGTTCTGGCATAGTTGTTGGAACGAATGGACTACATGTAATGGCCTCAACTCTCTCTTTTTCTAGATTTAGAACTCCCACTAGCCACATCTGCAGACCAAAGGCATCTATGAAATTTGTACTTGCACACTTTCTGACTTGTCTTGAGTCTTATCATACACTAGTCTAATGTGAACCCAATTTCTGTTCTGGGAGTCAATAAAAATTATGATGGGGAACTACACAGAGATTCATTTCTTTTGGATAACACAAAGAAAGACTGTTCCACAACTTTGACAGAAAAGAAAATGCTACACAGCTTGGGTGATGTAAAACTTAAACTTGTGTGGATCCCAATATGCAACTCCTACCTCTTCAGGACCAATCTCTGTATTCTGTATTTGAAATAAGACACCCATTTCTTTTTAACACTGCTGCCCAGTGACAAATGTCCCAATCCTCAAATACTACTCAAAGATATACCTTTAAACAGAATTATTTACAACAAATAGATCACAGTTTACTTCAGATATTTGTTTTATGCTTGACAAATATAAAGACGATTCATTCTTTTCCAGTTTAATCTTTTTTCTGTCTCTGTTCAGTAAGAAGCAAACTGAAAGTCATAACCTTTGTTAGGAACATGCTCAATTCACAGATATTAACTCAGAAAATAATGCATGCTCCGTCAACTGAAAAACATCATCTTTCTCTACACATTAATACTAACTTCCAATCAGGGAAACTTATCTACTTAGAGCAAATCAACCTGACAATGAGTATAGTTAATTCAGTACCCTTGCTGTTATCAAGCCTGATAATGAGTATAGTTAATTCAGTATTCTTGCTGTTATCAACCTGATAATGAGTATAGTTAATTCAGTACCCTTGCTGTTATCAACCTGATAATGAGTATAGTTAATTCAGTACCCTTGCTGTTATCAACCTGATAATGAGTATAGTTAATTCAGTACCCTTGCTGTTATCAACCTGATAATGAGTATAGTTAATTCAGTACCCTTGCTGTTATCAACTTGATAATGAGTATAGTTAATTCAGTACCCTTGCTGTTATCAACATGATAATGAGTATAGTTAATTCAGTACCCTTGCTGTTATCAACATGATAATGAGTATAGTTAATTCAGTATTCTTTCTTATGGTACCCTTGCTGTTATCAACATGATAATGAGTATAGTTAATTCAGTATTCTTTCTTATGGTACCCTTGCTGTTATCAACATGATAATGAGTATAGTTAATTCAGTATTCTTTCTTATGGTACCGTTGCTGTTAATGATATTTTTGGTCATAATTCCAGTAATTTCTCATAAGCTTCAGCTAGCTTAGAAGAGTTGGTAAAGTTATAAACATTAACTCAAACAATATTGCATCTTTTACAAACTGAAAGGCATCACCTTTATCCTGCACATGGTCAAGTCGTAGGTATTAACTCAGAGCATAACTGAGACTGCAATTAGCTCTATTTACCAAATTGATGACATATCTTCAAATATGTTCAAATGAGCTTACAGTCAGCTGAAATTATTAGATTGTTGACTTTTCTGGGAAAAAGCTAAGATGAGCTTGTAGTTAGTTTTATATACCGGATTGATGACTTATATGGGAATAAGTTGAAAGCTTGTAGTTAGTTTTATTTATCAGATTGATGACTTATATGGGAATAAGTTGAAAGCTTGTAGTTAGTTTTATTTACCAGATTGATGACTTATATGGGAATAAGTTGAAAGCTTGTAGTTAGTTTTATTTACCAGATTGATGACTTATATGGGAATAAGTTGAAAGCTTGTAGTTAGCTCTATTTATCAAATTGATGACTTATATGGGAATAAGTTGAAAGCTTGTGGTTAGCTCTATTTATCAGATTGATGACTTATATAGGAATAAGTTGAAAGCTTGTAGTTAGTTTTATTTATCAAATTGATGACTTATATAGGAATAAGTTGAAAGCTTGTAGTTAGTTTTATTTATCAAATTGATGACTTATATAGGAATAAGTTGAAAGCTTGTAGTTAGCTCTATTTATCAAATTGATGACTTATATGGGAATAAGTTGAAAGCTTGTGGTTAGCTCTATTTACCAAATTGATGACTTATACGGGAATAAGTTGAAAGCTTGTAGTTAGCTCTATTTATCAGATTGATGACTTATATGGGAATAAGTTGAAAGCTTGTAGTTAGCTCTATTTATCAAATTGATGACTTATATAGGAATAAGTTGAAAGCTTGTAGTTAGCTCTATTTATCAAATTGATGACTTATATGGGAATAAGTTGAAATCTTGTAGTTAGCTCTATTTATCAGATTGATGACTTATATGGGAATAAGTTGAAAGCTTGTAGTTAGTTTTATTTACCAGATTGATGACTTATATAGGAATAAGTTGAAAGCTTGTAGTTAGTTTTATATACCGGATTGATGACTTATATGGGAATAAGTTGAAAGCTTGTAGTTAGCTCTATTTACCAGATTGATGAATTATATAGGAATAAGTTGAAAGCTTGTAGTTAGTTTTATTTATCAAATTGATGACTTATATGGGAATAAGTTGAAAGCTTGTA